CTAAGCCATTCGTAGGTTACGCAAGGTTTTAGATAGTCAAGCGACTGACTCGCCGTAATTCCCCGGTGGCAGTACCCATGGGTAGTCCGGCTCATGCGAAGGCCTAACGGACACAATGTTTTCTACCTCTAATTAAAATTGTGGAGTCAATATTCCGATTCATGGATCATAAGTTATAAACATTTAAATATTTACTATTATGGAATTTGTCTTCAAATCTTTTTGTATAATCTCGAAATAAATGTTAAATGTGGTAGCTGATGCTGAGATTTTGAAATATTTTAATATTAAATTTTAAAATTTTTTGGGGCCTTTTCTGTTAAGCTTTTTTTTTTAGAGTTAGGTTAGGGTTTAGGGTTAGTTTTATAAATAAGTGTATAAGTGAACTTTAGTAGGTATTATAGATTTAAATAGAGACCCCAAATCTAGCTTCAGCCAATCTCAGCATCAGCTGCCGCATTTACTATTCGCATACTTAAAATATAAAATAATGCAATAGAACTTATGTTTAAAAGATTTTTACGAATTTTTTATTAAAAAATAATGTAAATATCGCGTATTGGTTATTCTTATCGTTGTTTGAGGCTGCTTACTTGTGTTGCTATTGTCGTATAGTACTAAAGTATTATATATCACATTTTATCACATGAAATGAGTCCGATCAAGCCCATATGAAAAGAGTATTATAAATAAAGGGTCTAATTGCCCCGAGAAAATTAAGTCTCGTTTGCTTCACTAATTAACAAATCACAATTTTATTGAAATAAATCGCCCATAGTATTACATTAACACTGATACGCTAATATACTCCTTAAGTCATAAACCGTTCACTAATTTCTTGATCACGTGCTGACCCAAGTAACCGAAGCCTTAGTCACCCACCAGCCAAACCTAACACACCTCTTTCGTAAGGTTTCCTATCGTTGGTTACGCAAGACTTTGGATTGTGGAGCGACCGAGTGGCAATCATTTCCTTACACTGTTTTGATTTGGGTGTGATCAATCATCGTGTGACGAACAAGGATTTACTATATAAAATATATAATAACTTCTTATTCGTCACTCGATGATTTATCACTCCCAAATCAAATATTTGATTTCAAAATAAAAATGGATTCAGTGGATTACAGTCGGATATCCACGGATCCAAGCACTACTTCGGACAATTAATATTTGTGGTGCAGTAGAATGAATTTTACTGTACAACAAAAGTCGTATGAATTATATTGTGTTAATGATTACTGGTAGCGTAACTTTTGTAACTTTAATTATTCATAATATGCTAACTATGCTACGTCATAAAAATATTATCAGTATTAGATTTTTTTTAAATTTTATTCTACACTTATTACATGACTTATATATGTATATAAGTTATCGCATTTTATTACAGCACAATTACAGCATGACGTAACTTCATTGACATATTACAACACAATACGCAAATTATAACTTTCACACAGAGTTATAACTTAGTTTATGACATGGCTTGTTCTGATCTTATGAGTTTTTATCATTATTGCACCTCTAATTATTAATATATAGTCATAATATGTTGTTTGAGAAAAGATAATCTTTTAAAACCACAATTTATTATATTATTATATTAATAAAACCTTATAACTAATATGCTGCGCTTTTACATTACACCATTTCCAATTACTTCGGTTTATAAATTTTCTAAATACTCGTTAACAACGAACAACTATATATTTATATGTCATCAGTTCAATATATTCTTCCAATTCTTCCAATTCTTCCCAATAATCTATTGGCCTATTCAAATAACATCCAGATTTTAAAATTCTAGGTCCATTCATGTAACATCCATATTTCAAAGTTCCTTTTCTTATACAAAAATCAATTATCGCTTTGATTATTCCTTTATCAAGTTCATATATAATTAGCTTTTCTAAAGGTGCTTCACAATACTTGAGTATAGATTGAATATATGAAGTTGATGAATGCGTATATGAATCTAATATTTTGTTTCGTTCAACATAATCCCATTGGAGATATCGTAATGTTGAAGGTAATGTTTTCGAAAGGCTTATAATTCGTGATTTCGTAATTTCTATTTCAGTATCTGTACATCCCAAAGAAAGAAATTGTAATTTTCTTAGACCTTCAATTAGTTTTAAAAGTTGATTAGAAAGTTCGATATAATAAATGCAAAAATATATAATATTTGGACAAAAGTCTGTAAGTGTTCTTAATAATTTTGATTGTAAAGGTATTATACAATCTGATGAAACGATACTCAATCGTTGTAATTGCGAGCCTGACTTTCTTAACAATGGAATTACATTATCTGTATTAACCATCTTAATGTTTATATCCAGAGTACTGATTTTACAACATACATCTGATAATTGTTTCAATAGAGGTTCCGCTTCATGATTTTTGATCCGAAGGACTTCTAACTTTTCAAAACTATTAAAAACCATAAATTCTGATGTATATCGTCCATTTAATACAAGTTCTCGTAATGAATTTTCTTGATTCTTTAAAGCTGATATGACACCAGAAAATGATATTGTGTAAGTAAGATCAGTAATATCGAACTTCCTAAGTCGTCGTTGTGATTTGATGAAGTTTGCAAGCTCATTAAGTGCTCGTATATCAGGTCCAATATTCATCTTTAGCCTTAAAGTATGAACTTTGGTAGAAACTCTTGACATAATTTCTAATAACGTAATAATCCCATCAGAATAATTTCCAGGCTTAGTATAAAGAACCATTTCTTGAACATGAGATATAAAATGTTTATTTTGTTCTAATAAATGTAGTGTTTCTGGTTGGATCGGAAATTTAGAAATAGTGATATCAAAATTAGTCAAAATAGCATTACTCTTAATTAATAATTTGAGCAACAAATTTGCTAAATTGTTCACTATATCCTCATTTTTCAGTGGGTTTTTGAGATACTGATGAACGCTATCAATTAGGAATTTTAAATCAAGGGATTTTAAAAATCTTGGATAATCAAAAAGAATGTTTGTATGATAATCAACGATTATTCCACATTCTTCTATTTTAATCCTTTCATCCTTATCAAGAAATGAAAGGTATACAGATATGCACTTTGAATTTTTTGAAAATGAAAACGTGTCTCGCCAAAGAAGAGGTGTCGACATCTTACACCAATGCCGGTTCACGAAAGCGCATGAATATAGTGAATCAAGGTCATATTCATCATGATCTCCGTTAAAATTATTAAGTATATTTCCCATTAATTCAGGCATGTCACCTGTAAATATTTTTGATGCCATTATTTCAGGATTGGAAAATACAAAACGCGAAAGTATACAAAAAAATTATTATTTATATTTACAGGGGTGCATAAAAAATTCTTGTTTTTCCCAGTTTATTCAGTTTATTTCCAAGTTTGATTCATCACATGATTCAATTTACATGAAGGTTACCGTTACGATATGATTCCCCGAAAGGTAGTTTCCCATATCGATATATTGCCGAAGTGACGGTCTGTAAATGGATTCACTACTCAGAAACGACGAAACGACCCCTGATAAATTTAAAATGATTACATGTTGTAAAGGCTAACTAACCTTCTAGTTGCTTCTATAGCTAAAAAGCTTAATATTATTATGTAATAATTATGTTACCGAATTTTATTACGTGGGAATCATTTTAAATCAGGAATCCTTTTACAGGTTTTCCCTGACCGTTACTCATTTCACATTTTTTAGATAAGACATATATCCAACATTACATATTTTCGACAATCTGTTTCTCGACATAGAAATTCCAATAAGAATTTTCCCCGGCAATCATTTCTTTGACACATGGGGGAGGTCAGTAACAAAGAGACAAATTTTTTTTAAGTACCGTAAATCTTAAAATCAAATATTTCAATAACTACTAAAGTAAATCTTATAAAAAATTTTTTTTTATTTTAATTTTAATAAGTTATAGATTTAAAATAAAAAAAATTTAATAAGATTATTGTTAAGATATTTTAATTTAAAAATAAAAAAAATTTCACTAAAAATGGTTTGTTCTTTTTCCACTGACCTCCCCCCACATAATAACCATAAATCGAGCTAACCCTAATGCTAAATCGGGCCAATGTTAATTGTCGGATGCCGCCAAATGTCCGGTTACTGGTTAAAGAACTGTAATATCGCATATATGTCTTGTCGAAAAAATGTACTGTAGGTGAAATAGTATGTCGGTAATACGGTGTCGGGAAAATGGGTTAGCGGGAACTAACTTTCGGGAATTGAGTAAAAACGTCTTTAGGTTATATTTCTGAATATTAAATTTATAACACTTTGATCTGATTTATATATAGTTTGCAAATTAGCAAGGTTTAGAACAAAATAT